GCCCTTGGCGCCTTACCGGTTGCGTAAGGCCAGGCGCTCACTTCCCCGGTGTCCCCTTCCACCCCCCTTTCCCTGGTCTTTTCCATGTGCCGGCTACGAGTTCGACATTTGCTTCACCTCGGTACAGAAACGGGCCATCCGTACCCTCTGGACCGTCCTGGATGCCATCGATCAGATGTGGTTACCCGTTATCCGAACCTGGCGCCTGAACGAGAGGCATTACGGGGCCCTCACCGGTTTGAACAAGGCTGAGACGGCGGCAAAGCACGGCGAGGCACAGGTGAAGATCTGGAGGCGCTCGTACGACATCCCTCCGCCTCCCATGCAGTCCGATCACCCCTTCTACAGCACCATCAGCAAGGTAAGACACATTGCTCTCTGTCCTCCTGGCCAGGAGGCTCCTAAAAGCCACCTTAGGTCCCTGTGACGTGGTCTGGCTTCCTCTGCAAGGTCTCCTCTGCCTCTGTTGCAGCAGCCAGGACTGTCATGCGTGGTGCCAGTTGGTGTCGGGCTGAGTTTGTCCCGCTCCCTCCCTGGGGAGTTGAAACCTTGGGCATTGTACGGACAGATTCAAAGCGGAGGGGATGATACCTCTGTTAATCATTAGTCCTGTGACCTGTGCATGGGTGTTTGCTCTGGTCTCTTTGCTCAGAGCAAGCGATGTGCGGCTTTCCCTAGGAGGGGCTCAGAGCCCTGACCCTGGCTGAGCGCAGCCTCAAACCTCAAAGGCAATTCCTTGCTTCCAGGCCTGGCTTTGCCTACATGTAGCAGGTCCCCAGGCAGAGAATTTGGGGGGGGTGTGTGTGTGAAGGCCCTGCCGCTGCCTTCCCACACTGCGTTGGGCTGCTGTGTGAGCGTGGCCGTTCCCCCAGGACCGTCGCTATGCTGACCTGACAGAGGACCAGCTGCCAACGTGTGAGAGCCTGAAGGACACCATCGCCCGGGCTCTGCCTTTCTGGAATGAGGAAATCGTCCCGCAGATCAAAGAGGGAAAGCGAGTCCTTATTGCTGCCCATGGCAACAGCCTGCGTGGGATTGTCAAGCACCTGGAAGGTACGTCAGCCCTGCGGGGGTATCGCGGGGGTCTCCCCGCTTGCCCCGGCTGGCACTGTGTGAGCAGGGCCACAAGTGACGGTGCCTCTGTGTTCGCAGGCATGTCGGAAGAGGCCATCATGGAGCTGAACCTGCCCACCGGCATCCCTATCGTCTACGAGCTGGACAAGAACCTGAAACCCATCAAGCCCATGCAGTTCCTGGGGGATGAGGAGACGGTGCGCAAGGCCATGGAGGCTGTCGCTGCTCAGGGCAAGGTCAAGAAGTGAAGGCGGGCAGCAGGCTAGCACGTAGTAGAGCCCCCCGCCGTCCCCCACCCCTCTGTGCACACCCCCCACAGCCGTAGGAACTTGGAGCTGCGCAGCTGGAGCAGCTCCCCAGGATTAGGCCCATTCCCTTGGGACCAGGCTCCCCTCTGCAGACAGCCTGGGGCTGCATGCATGGAGGTCTGGTTGTGAAGGGGAGCCCTGGCTCTGCCAGGCAGTGACCGCACACCTCTCCGCGCCCAGATCCCAGCCCTTGGGCCCTGTCTGCAGGGGGACGCGCCAAGCGATCCCTCGCCGTGCCAGGCTCCTCCTCTGCTTTGCTTCCCCGGCAGCTCTCGTCACCCGGTTACTGTAGTTTTGTTGCTTGATTTAGTCATCCCGGGAGCAGTGGGGCGAGCGCAGCGCAGGCAGCAACCAAGATGGGTACCCCATCCCCTCGTGGGTGTGTGGCACAAGGATCGGGATGCGTAGACACTGAAAGGGTTGTATTTTGGCGCATGTGGTACAGCACCCAAGGGTGGTACTCACGACTCTGGACCTAGCTCCCCCAGCCCCTGCTTTAACTTATTGCCTTTGGAGAAGGGCGAGGGAGGGAGCGGGTCGTCTGGAGGTCTGTGTCCACCACATACTTCCCTCAGCCGAAGCCCATCTTAGTCCTGCTGGTGCAGCAGGTGCCGTCGTGCCCCATCCCACGTCTGCATACGCGGCCCTATCGCTGTGGCCTCCCCCTCTGCCGGCGCCGCGAGCCTGGGCTTGCACGGGGTCAGTGTAACTGTCCGACCGTAGCGGCTGTCTTGTTCCAGTTCAATAAAGAGTAATGCGCAATAGCGAGGTGCCGGTGCTTTCCTCTGCCACGTGCTCCCGGGCGTGTGGGGCGGAAGGCGCGCCGGGCTCGGGGGAGCACAGCACGGCTCCGCAATCCCTGCCGGAGGGGGTGACGCCCTGCCGCTCGTGGTTTGCTGGCTCCGGGTGCGGCACGCCCTTGTCCCCAGGGGCAGGCAGGGCACGCGTGGCCGGAGGAGATGCGGTGCCCGGGGGTTGAGCGCAGCCGCAGCCCGTACCGGTTATCGGTGAGGGGCAGGGAGACAACCTGTTCTCCACGCTCCACACCAACGTGGGGAAACCAACCTGGCGAGGCGAGTGCCTGGAGCCAGCGCTGCCCAGCCGCAAACCGGAACTCTTGCCGTTCACCTCACTGCGGCAAAGCCGCTGGTTCTTCCCCTTCCCCGGCAGCGGGCTGGGAACACGTGCTTCCTCCCAGCCGCAGCGCTGGGGAAGCCGTCCCCACAACAGCTCCGCTACGGGAGCCAGACCAGCGGGCTGCAGGCAGCCCCGCCCG